CATCAACATCAGCATCATCATCATCATCAGCATCAGCAGCATCATCATCATCATCAGCAGCATCATCCTCAGCATCATCAGCATCGTCATCAGCATCATCATCAGCAGCAGCATCATCATCATCATCATCATCATCATCATCATCTGCATCATCCTCAGCATCCTCATCGTCCTCATCATCCTCATCATCTTAATCATCATCAATCATCATCATCATCATCAACGTCAACATCAACATCGTCATCCTCACCACCACCATCATCATCATCATCATCATCATCAGCAGCATCATCATCATCATCAGCATCGTCAGCATCAGTATCATCATCAGCATCATCAGCATCATCATCAGCATCAGCATCATCATCATCACCATCATCATCAGCATCATCATCATCAGCAGCAGCATCATCAATATCATCCTCATCCTCATCCTCATCCTCATCCGCATCCTCATCTGCATCCTCTTCATCATCGTCCTCCTCCTCATCCTCCTTCTCCCCCTCCTCCTCCTCCTCCTCCTCCTCCTCCCCCTCCTCCACCACCACCATCTCTTCCTCCTCCTCCTCCTCATCCTCCTCCTTCTCCTCCTCCTCCTTCTCCTCCCCATCCTCATCATCCTCCCCATCCGCCTCCTCCTCCTCCTCCTCCTCCTCCTCCTCCTCCTCCTCCGCCTCCTCCTCTCAATCCTCCTCTTCTCCTCATCCTCCTCCTCCTCCTCCGCCTCCACGCCTCCGCCTCCTCCTCCTCTCATCCTCCTCCTCTTCCTCCTCCGCCGTCTTAATATCTGGTGTGAGTAATATGGTCATTGGCATTAGTAACTATTTTCGTCCGTCCGCCTCCTCCTCCTCCTCCTCCTTCTCCTCCCTCCTGCTCCTCTCCTCCTCCTCCTCCTCCGCCTCTCCTCCTCCCCCTAACCCCCTCCTCTTCTTCTCCTCCTTCACATCATCATCATCATCATCAATCATCTCATCATCATCATCATCATCATCATCATCATCATCATCATCTCATCATCATCATCATCATCATCATCATCATCATCACAGCATAATCATCATTCATCATCAATCATCATCATCATCATCATCATCATCATCATCAGCATCATCATCATCATCATCATCAGCAGCATCAGCATCCTCATCATCATCATCATCATCATCAGCAGCAGCAGCATCAGCCTACATCCTCAGCTCAGCATCAGCAATCATCATCCATCATCAGCATCAGCAGCAGCAATCAGCAATCATCAGCCTCAGCATCAGCCATCAGCACAGCATCAGCATCAGCATCATCATCATCATCATCATCATCATCATCATCATCATCATCATCATCATCATCATCATCATCATCATATTCATCATCATAATCATCGTTAGCATCATCATCATCGTCATCATCATCAGCAGCATCATCATCATCATCAGCATCATCATCATCATCATCAGCATCATCAGCAGCATCATCATCAGCATCATCATCAGCATCAGCATCATCATCCTCATCATCATCATCATCATCATCATCATCATCATCATCATCATCATCATCATCATCATCATCATCATCATCATCAGTATCAACATCATCATCCTAATCATCATCAGCAGCAGCATCATCATCGTCATCATCAGCATCATCATCAACAGCATCAACAGCGTCCTCATCGTCATCATCAGCAGCCGCATCAGCATCATCACCATCATCAGCGGCAGAATCAGCATCATCATCATTATCATCATAATCAGCATGAGCATCAGCATCAGCATCAGCATCATCAGCATTATCAGAACCATCAGCATCATCATCAGCAGCATAATCAGAATCAATATCATCATCATCATCATCATCATCATCATCATCATCATCATCATCATCATCATCATCATCATCATCATCATCATCATCATCATCATCCCCCTCCTCTATCCTGCTCCTACCCTTCCGATTCGCGTGCTATCGTTTTTCCCGTCGCACGCATTGTGCCGACAGTGGCCATGCCCCCGAAAGAAGACCTCCGTGGGTATCAAAACAGGCCACCACGCTGCGGCGCTCCGCGCCACATTCGGGAAAAGAGACGAAGGAGAGGGAAGATACTGATATGCACATGTAGAATAAATCCCTATCCTCCTCCTCATCCTCATCCTCCTGATCCTCCTCCTCCTCCTGCTCCTCCTCCTGCTTTTCCTCCTCCTCCTCCTCCTCCTCCTCCTCCTCCTCCTCCTGCATCCCTCTTCCTTCATGACTAAATCGCTCCCTATCCTACCACCATACGTGTCCGTAGACTGGGCTGGGCATTTCGCTTGGGACTGGCTTACAATGTACTGCTACCCTGAAGCTGAAAAACCTCCAACAGATAGAAGGATGGTGGGCAGGTGGTTCTGAAAATGCGTCTCTTGCTTTAGCGCCACGCGCCTTCGTTGCAAAAGCTCCCAAAGTTACAAGGATGAAGGGCAAGGGGGTTTTCAAATCGCGGCTATCGACTCAGCGCCGAGCGCATTCTTTCCAAAAGCTTCCAACAGTTACAAGGATGGAGGACCGAGAACCGGTGGTTTTCAGAATGCGGCTGTCGCCATAGCTCCACGCACATGTCTCGTTGAGACGTCATCAGAGACGTCATCGGAGACATCATCAGAGACGTCATCAGACGCACATGCGGCTGTCTTCTTGAAATGTGATTCTCGTTTGAGACGTCATCAGATTCTACGAGACGAAGTTCCAAACTGAGGCTCTCGCTTGAGAGGCTAGACCTCAGGAACCGCGCGGCACTGGAACGGATGGAGGCCAGGGCCTTTTCAAAACTGGCCTGATTACGCCTGCACACTTCCTTGAACTTGCTCATCCTGCCCTTACTTCTTCAGCGTAGCCAGAACGCTAACTGGTGGATCCTTTACAGAGCTGGGTCTTGCGGTCTTGCCCGAGTGACAAGCCCACCTGGCGCTCGCCACTCAAGGGGGCGCTTCCCGCAGCAGGTAGAAATAGCTCTGGGGACCTATGAGGCAGGGGGCTTGTCTGTCTCTGCCACGACTCCCTCGGCCCACATGGGGAACGTCTCCTTCGCCTTCTCCTGCTCCCTTCAACCTTAATCCCCCTCCTCCTCAACCTCGTATTCGTCGTCGTCCTCAGGGTCGGCGGCACTTGACACAAGGCCTTGGCAATACCTCTGGGGACTTAATTATGAGGCAGGGACTTGGGACGAGAGGATGTATTGCAACATCGCTGACGCATCCCGGGTTTACTTTGGTTTAGTATATTTCTTGTTGTTCCTCCATGTGCTCCTCCTGTGCGCGCCTTCTCTATGTTCCTTAGTCGACGGCTACAGGGGCCCACCGCAGTCTGAAGAATACCAGGAGGTCGGCGGATGCGCCGTCGGCCGAGCGAACCAAGCACTGGCACCAGTCTAGCCCCACACTTGCTGAGTGGAGCCGACATTCTCCTCGCCGATGCCTACAAATACAATGCTGCCTCCCTGGGAGGCACCTGAGCATACAAGATGATGCCTGTGCCGCCATTGTAAAGATGGCCCATCATCACACTCGCCACGCGCTGAACAACTCCGTTGTCAGACCCATTGTGACCCCAGCGGTCACCTTCGCAACGGACGAATGTCACTTTCGGTAAATGCGCGATTGCCTGGCCGATGACATCGACGACATGCGCAAACGAGATGCACTCACACGTACGCGCATGCACTAGTGCCTTGAGATCTAATCGGGATCCGGTGATCGCATACCTTGCACAAGTCTACACAATGGTACCGACGATAATCGCTTGCCATCGTATATCATATGCAGTGGTACGTGACAGTGTAGCTCGCGGCATGCTACAGCAATGCAGCCTGACCTCATTTGGACACGGCGTGACACCGACGAATGTGATTCATGGTGGTGCGCGGGGAGGTCTGCCGTATATTCGGAGACCGACTAAGATGAAGTTGTGGAGGTGGATAAGCACGGGGCTTACAAGTGCCTGAGCGGCAATGCCTTAAAATGCCTAATCAGAAAAAAAAGACTGGTACCCGTCGTGCGGTCCGATGCCGTAGAACGAGGCGCAAACTGTGGAGCCTGTGGGTTACTCCACGCTAGAAGAGTGTAGAAGAGGCGCAAGAGCTCCCACGAGAACGTCGCTGCGTGATCGAGCAGCGGTGCTCACGAGGCAAAACGGCATCAAGGAGAGCCCAAGACGAGAGAGCATGTGCGAATCGAATGCCCACCAACGGACGCAAGGGGAGAGAGGGGGGGCAGCGGCACACCGCCAAGTTGCACCCTGGTCGAGAGGCCCCGATTGAAGGGGCCTTGGGGCTCACAAATAAAATAGACACAAATAACAGGACTCCCCATATTTTCCAATATGTTCTGCCTTTTTGGTCTGGAAATCGACGATTAATCATGTCTGTGTTTTTCCCTCCTGACCGATCCCAGGTCGAAACAGTGCTACGCATTGTTGCGCGTGCACCACCACCACCACGGCCACACACACCGTCCCCCGTGCTCCCTGGGCGGCCCGACGCCCGCCTGGGGGCTCTCCAGGACGCTCCGAGGCCTGCAGGACCCTCAGAGGCGCCAAAGGTGCACCGAGAGGCTTCCGAGGCACCGAACAGAGGTTTCCCAGGAAGGCCAAAAGCTGCGGACCCTGTCGGCGTGTGCGAAGGGGAGTCATGAGCTCCATGGAGACACATTTCCTATTCGAAGGTCTCCCCCCCTTTTCCCTGCAGCCACACAGGGCTCTCCAAGCTTGCCAACCTCGGGTGAATCGACCCAAGTCGTAGTCGAGTCGAAAAGAAGCCCCTCCCCTTGGATCCATTCCCCGCCGGGGAAGGGCTCCCTGGGGGGGTGCACCCTCCCCGCTGCCCCCCCCTCTCTCCCTGGAGTGGATCGGGCAACACTCAAGCCAGTTTGGTCGTCTTTGGGCGAGCCCTCTCGAGGCCAACCTCGGCCAACGTCGGCGCTCTTGGGAGTCTCGCGGGGCGTATGGGAAGGCTCTGGGGGCCAGCC